TTAACAGATGATTAAGCTGCAGCTCAGAGAGATAAAGCAACGTGCCCAATTTCGTTATGCTAGAAAGTAGCGGAGCCAGGATTTGAATCCACAGCTGTTTGATTCTAGTGTAACCAACTTAAACTATAGGCTCCACTGGTTCCAAATATGCATACTTGCATGAGGATTTCCAAAACAGAAAACTCTGTTTCACTTGATACATATGGGGGGAAAAAAAAAAAAGCTGATATAAGAGAGACTTCAGAGGTCCCTGGCTGTATTTGTCAAAGGCTTTGCCACTTGTCAGCTCCAGGCTGTATTCCTGGACCACACACTTGAAGACGTTCTGAATTCCACAGCACTTCAGAGTTCCTCAGGTATTATCAATCTTAAGCATGTTTGTTTTGTTATCCCAGGACCCGAGGTTAGGTGTAATTTTTTAGTACCTCACAAAGCATCATTTCAAAACTGTAAGGCTACTTTTCACATATTCTTAAGACGTCAGTCTTGTCATGGTGGTCACCTTTCATACTCAGAGTCAGTCTTTGCAAGGGGATTAATCAATCACCTGCCAAGTTCTTCCTCTCATGAAAATAGTGATAAATTTGTATTTTCTTCAAACTGTTGATTTCATTCCCACCACTTAGTAAGGAATCTGACCAAAAATGCTCTTAGATGTAAAATCTACAAAAGAAAGTTGTTTTAGCACCTCTGGGAGCCCTGCAATTGAATTCAGTAAAATACTCCTTACATTTATAGAGACTTTAACATCCAACTCTATTACAATACTTTTCCTGAAGAATGTCTTTGTTTTCCTGTCTTCTCATAGCATGTTAACACTACATCAATGACTCTGATTACAACTTTGGTTATTCTTTCATCATTTCCTGGCTAGGAGCAGCTTCCACAGGAGAGCTTTTACAGATTTGTTTTAACCTTCTTACTACTTTTACAGATCTTTTCACAACTGTTCTGCTTCCTGTGTCACCAAGAAGCACATTAGGGGCACATGTGTAGGGATGGAAGGCTGTTTGTCCATTATGATTTCCTCAAGATGTTGCCTTATTATCTACTCGCTTCCTATGGGAGGTAACAGGCCTTGCAACTGGACTCTACAATCCTCTCCTGTTTGAGTATAGCTCTTAAAAACCGGTTGAGGAACCATCACTTCATTTGAGGATTTATCTACCTATCTGTGAGTTCTGAAGGACATGGTTGCTCCACTGATTCTACCATGACCATGTTCACAGCCCTTCATATGCTGACTCTAAAATATCTTAATCAGAGAAGGGTCCACTGGGCAAATTACATCATCTCAGTAGTTTTTAAACCTCTTGCCTGGATATCTCTTTGGTTACTGTCAGTCTTTTTTCCCTACATCTTCATCTGGTGCCTTCGCCACAAAATGAAGGTAATACATCTTTCCCATCCCCCTGGTCACATGCAGTATTTCTTTACCAAGTCTGAAGAAGACATTCTTTGTGGGGACTGAATAAATACTTATTTATCAAGTACCTATGTTATTGAGCTAAGTCCTGGGGACATTTTGTAATGCTGCCATTTTTACATGAGCTGAATTTTAGATTAAGAATTCTCAAAATTTAAATACTTAGATTTTCTCCATCGTGCTCCTTCTCAATTATACCCATGAAGAATCATTTAATATCTGCAGAACATTTCTTATACTTAAGGAGAAGGCTTGATCATTCTATCACCATTCAGAAAGCTATTGTTTAATGGAAAAGCAACTGAAAAACTCATCTCTCCCTCAGAGAATAATGGGCTGAAATTGGAAATACAAAAATAAAAAAGTAGCTGAGCAGTAAACTTTCTTGTAAATACTAGTCATAATAGTGTACATCTTACTTTTAAAATTTCCTCAAAGTCAATTAAAAATACCTTTCCAGCTATAGAGTCCTCAGCCTCAATGAATTCCTCAACAGGATCTCCATTAAGCTATTTCTACTTTCCATAGTTTCTTCCATCTCAGCTCCTGGTAATTACCTCACTATAATTTTTAAGGCATAAATGAGAAAGCACAGTTGAAAATACTTTTTAAAAAATAATAAAACCTATGCATTGAAGTTACAGACAGTTTGGAGAATAGTTAAAAGCCATAACCTCTGGAGCCAGCCTGCCGGGATTCAAATCCTAGTACGACTCCTTACCGACTGTGTAGCCCTGGCAAGCTATTAACATCTGTGCCTCAGTTGCCTTATCCATAAAACTAGATAATATCAGTATCTTCCTATTAAGGATTAAATGAGTTAACATTTCAAGCACTTAGAAATGCGCAATTTCTGACAAATGTGTCATTGATAAACATTTCTTATTTCCAACGCAGTAATGGGTTAGGTTACAAAAGTTTGTTTTTAATTTTGTTGTTTAAAACTTAGGACACAGAAACAATGTCACTGAATCATGGAAAATCATAGCTCCAAGAGACCTCAGCAAGATTATAAACATTAAATTTCCAGACTAGCCCATAAGCATTGATTTAATCCACAATGTAGCTGATATACAATCCTGCCCTAAATTCTGGTAAACTGAACCATGCTTCCCTACGTCAGAGATGGCTCACTCAGATCTGTCCTAGCCAAAATGTTTCATGCTTCAAAGCATTTGTCTCCCTCCAGTCCCTGTCAAACCGTAAGGGGTTCCTTACTGCCCCCAAGTGATCATCACTAAATGCTGAGAGAAAATGGATCTTACTTTACTGATCAATACTGAAGTATAAATGACTGGTGCCTCTAGCAGAACTATGAGCTATTCTCTATTTACTAACTTCAGCAAATATTTAATTGGTATAATTTCAGGGTATATGAGTGAAGGTGTACTTTTTTTTGTTTGTTTGTTTGTTTGTTTTTTTGCGGTACGCAGGCCTCTCACCGTTGTGGCCTCTCCCGTTGCCGAGCACAGGCTCCGGACGCGCAGGCTCAGCGGCCATGGCTCACGGGCCCAGCCGCTCCGCGGCATGTGGGATCTTCCCGGACCGGGGCACGAACCCGTGTCCCCTGCATCGGCAGGTGGACTCTCAACCACTGCGCCACCAGAGAAGCCCAAAGGTGTACATTTTTAAGTCACTCATATTAAAAGAGGTACAGTATTAATGAGATGTAGTTTAGAGTTATAATTCAAATTCTAGTAACAAACTAAAAATATATTTACTGGCCATTTGTGAATCTTCAGGTGATGTGACCAGGAGTCAGGTTAACAGCCTTAAAATCTTTGGACTAATCATTCAGAGTCTTCTGAGCAATTGGGGCAACACGGTTTTTGTTTCTATAGGAATAAATGAATGCTAGAGATCACTCCTCTCTACTCTCAGTTCTTTGAGCTGCCAGACGAAAAGCAAACTAGATGAGATGCACATCAAAGACCCTGAATTAAGACTTCTGTTCCAGCATAAAATGATGCCCCAGACACAGAAATGTGCCTTGTGCTCACATTTGAAAATTGGACTTGCTCAGCTTGTCCTAAGGGCATAGGAAGTCTAGCAGATGGAGTCAGTCATATTTTTACGTCCATATCTTCCTGATGCTCACTTTTAGAAGGCATTCGGGCTACTTTATCTGAACAGTTCTCCGCGTCTGTAAAGAGGTGTAACAGTGCTTCGTGGGGTCTTGATAAGGAGGCAATAAGATAATACACGTAAAGGGTTTAACACAAGCCTAGCATCCGCAAGTGCTCAATCAGTGTCCATCTAATGGGGTTCTCTTCTTCTCTAAAAATAATATTTTGCTTTTCCTAAAACTTTCTAGGCAAAAATTTAGTAATCTTAGCTTAAATTCAAGAGGATCAATTGTCCCCCTTTTAAGCATGGAGACAGGTGTGTTGTTCCTTCTCGCCACATGGTGGTGCTAGAGCAGCATGACTAGGGAGCAGTCCCGCCAAACATTTGAAAAAATCATGTGCAGCTAATTGATATCTGTAAACGAGCACTTAATGACATTTTGGAACACATGCAGAACACAAATTTTGATGTGCTTTTAATAAATCGATAAATCACAAATTTTTAAATTAAAAAATAATGAGCAAAACGAAAATTAGGGTGGGCATTATCATTTGCAGCTTTTCACCGAGACACCTATATCCAGCTCATGTCATAGGTTAGGACCCACATTTTTAGATGTTTTCTTTTCCATGACTTATTTCTACAACACTAGAAGATCTTAGATCCCAGGAATGAAAGCAAGTGTATTTGGTGATTCTGTCCAATGGTTCTAGATATTTGGCTCACGTGTGGATCCAGAAATTAGGAAGATATTTTTCACTAAAGTAAGAAGTGAGTCTCACTACTCTTCATGGCCTGTTGGCTGGTAAATGAACAAGCATTTACAGGAAAGAGTGAGTGTATAAACTGTTTCAGCCTGGGAGATTGTGCCCAAATGAAATTCAGGTCCTCCTACTGAGTTCTTTGGGGCTCTGGAAATCAGCCGTATCTGTTTAGTTGCAGCTTATGTGTGTGGTTTTAAAATGTGCCCAATGATACGCCATTAATTTATTTCTTGAATAAGGGTTGGATGTCCACAAATTTTCAAAGAATAAAAAACTATTAGAGATCAAGCTATTCATACATTTCATCTAGTTCAGACTAGATAAGACACTGACAGCAGTATGCTGAGCTAAGCCACTTGAAATCCCAGAAATGGTCTGTACTCATATTACTAATGTTGTAAATCAATGTTTTTAACACATCCTTCATTCAAGAAACTCTTCAGCACCCTTCTCAGCACTAGCCAGCAGTCTCCAGTGGGGGAAAAATGTTGTCTTATATTTGCTGCCCCTAAGAATAGATCTTAAAAGCTCTCATCACAAGAAAACAAAATTGTAACTACATGGGACTTTCCTGGTGGTCCAGTGGTTAAGACTCTGCACTTCCACTGCAGGGGGCATGGGTTCCACCCCTTGTCTGGGAACTAAGTTCCCACATGCTACCAGGAGTGGCCAGAAAAAAAAAAAAGGAAAATAAAATTGTAACTACATGCGGTGATGGATGTTAACTAAACTTACTGTGGTGATCATATCACAATATATACATAAATCAAATCATTAAGTTGTATACCTAAAACTAATACAATGTTATATATCAATTATATCTCATTTTAAAAAAATTTGCTGACTCTTTCTTTGCACAGCACATGTGAAATACATACTTTCAATTATCATACTTTCATCATATTCATAATCTCTATTTCCCTCGACCCTGAATCAAAAACAAAAGGCTTATATTGACCCCCAACTATCTTCTGTGAATAAAGAGGGTAGAAGGATGCTTAGATGCAACCATTTCCACTCACAATAAAGTCCTTTCCTACCCAGTTGTGGCTGGTGCTCCTTTGGTACCAATCCCAGTGTCCCTGCCCAGTCTGTATCAAAGCTGATGTCATTAACTGTGCAAGAGAAAAAAATCCTCCTGCATTTAGCATGGATTTTCTGATGTTAAGTCATTGAGCGCATTTCCCTTCTCCAAGCATGGCACAAGTAGACACCTGCTTCATATTCTGTGCATAATGATCTTGTCCAGCTCTGCTGTCAAGGAAAATATCTGCCAGCATGCACAGCTCATAGTAACTTGACATCTACACAGGTGGTTCTCAAAGTGTTATCCTCAATCACTAACAGCAGCAGCATCTAGGAATCAGCTAGAAATGTAAAATGTGGGGCTTCATCCCAGACCTACTAAATGAGAAACTCAGTGGGACAGCGTTCAGGTGAAGCTGGAGCACACTAAAGTCTGAGATCCAACAGTATCATCTAAAAGACGAATGTTGTCAATGTTGCATTCTGCTTTCTCTTTTAATATATTTGTCACTGACTTTGTAGCTATTTTTAAAAGTATTTCAGCAACAGTGTGAACTATAATAGTTTTGACTGGCAGAAGTAGAAATTTGAATAACCCTCTGTTTTGCTCTCTTCTCCGATTTCATTGACAATATTATTCAATATTACATACTAGAAAGCATTATTTTGTAGTTGTTCTAAAAAACGTGGCTGCTTTACAGGGCACATCGCTTTGTTGTGTTAGGAAGTGACCTAAGAGCTTCACATTACAATTTAACCACGTTTTATAGCAAAAAAAAAAAAAAGGTAATTAGGGGTGAAGGGATTCTTAGTCTACTAAAAATAATTTTTTGAATATTCATCATCATGCATCCAATTCACCCTTTCTACTTTGGGCTGCTGCATGAAGCCCGCATTCTCAGATTTCCTTGTCCCAGCAGACACAGATTTATGTTCCATATTTGCACTGTAACATGTTTTTATTAGGTTTGCAAAGTTTTTCTGAGACATAGTCTTTCACTCTCCAAATGCACGTACATTTCAGAGAACCACCTGTGAACCAATGACCCATTTTTATGAACTGAGGAGAGAAGGCAATACGATAGTAACAAAAAATGCAAATTTATCAGACAACATACAAAAGATATGAAGATATGCTGTAAACTACTGTTTTCTGAGTGTTAGCACATAGATGGACTAACCAACATAGTCCTCTAGTGCATGTGCAACCAATGAAAATATTACGATTATTAAAAATGAAAAGAAGATGTCTGTGAAAATAATCATTAAACTTATATGTTCAAATTTGTGAAATGCATGTGAACCAAATTTCCCCTTTACACCTTCCTCTTAAACTGCCAAACAGCCTACAGAACTCTATTTTATGCTTCCTAAATCCTGAGGGATGTCCGTTTCCACCCCTTTCCATTCTTCAATAATTTCAATTATCTTATCTGCTAATCTCTCCTCTCCTTATTTTAACTCAGCTCAGAAACTTTACATTGAGTCCCTCTTATGAAATACTCCCCAGATCTTCCAACCTGGGCACAGAGGGAAGACAATCCCTGTTATCCCCAGATCCCCCATATAGTCAGAAAGCAACGCCAGGCTCTTTCATACCAGGCAGGAGATGGAATCCTAAGAACCTGCCCAGAGGAAACAAGCAAAGGGCTGAAGAAGGCCAGAGGGGTAAGAAATCAATCCAGACTCCCCAACAAAGCTTGAGAATGTGCTTGTTTGATCCAGCTAACTCCCCTAGCTGCCCTATTTTTTTTTTTTTTTTTTTTTTGGTCTTTGCAAACACACTTCTCAAAAGCATGGTCCACAGTTTCCGTTGCTTCATCACTTACTTCCTCCTCACCCCCTTGCAACACAGCGCCCAGCTTCAACACTTCAGAATCCTCCATGATATTTGATCCCTCCCTCTTTCCTTCCACTACTTTACACAAAGTGCATCTCATGAGAGGAGGGGACATATCAGGTGATCAGAATTGCCTGCAGGGCTCTGTCAGCCTCCATTTCAGAATCACCTCCGTCAGAGGTTCTCAACCTCTGCTCACAAAAATCACATGGAGAGCTTTTAAAAGATACCAGTGTCCGGCCCCCACTCCCTACCTGTGGTGGCTTTGCAATCTGTCAGCTTGGCTAGATTGAACAACACTTCCCAGAATTCCCTTCCCAGTCAGGGTGGACCACAGAGAGATGCAGCGGGGGGGATGCAGAGGGCGGAAGTGAAGGAGCAGCCATTCTGCTCATACATCGACGCTTCTCCACTAGCTCATCTCGTTGGCACAGACCAGTGACCAGACCTGCCCCCTTTCCACCTTCCCCTCGATCCTCCTTCAGCTTCTCCAACTCCTGCGCCAGGTGTGTGTGTTTAGCTCTGTGGCAAAGGGTCTTGGCTTCTGTAGGACACCCACACCATCCAGGTCAGAAGCCATAAGAACTGATACAAGTTTCAGTCCATCATTACGGGTCCCAGCTGGTTCTGGCTCTCCGCCACTTCAAATCCATCTTCCCCTCTGACTGCCTGCCCTGTGGGCTCCAGAGTCAGACACAAAGCAACACTTAACAAAGGCTGCCCAACAGCTCTCCACTTCACCCCACTCGTCATCCCCAGACTGACCTGGGAAAGTACTCATAACAGCCCTCCACGTTAGAAGGCTTTCGGCAACTTCCTGTGTCCCAGGAGATCAAGTCCACTCTTCTTACCTGGCGTTCAAAGCTCTCCAAACTCTGGCTCCTTCCCACCGGGCCTTCCACTCCCCCCACCACCCCCGGTGTGAACCCCATCGTTGAGTGCTTTCCGAACTCAATCAGCCCAAGGAAGAACAAAGCAGGGGTCACATAAGGAAAAGGGAAAGGGCCTCCTCTGGCCTCCTCGGGCTTGCCTAACAACAGAGGCCGCCAGCCTGGTAACGCCCCTACACACAGCCTGCCTATCTCTTTATCTCTTTATCTCTCTCTCTCTGTCTCTCTCTCTCTCTCTTTCTCTCTCTCTCTCTCTCTCCCCTTCCTTCTCTACCCTACTTGCTGCCTCCCACTTATATTAAGGGTAATTAATACATACACATTTGCATTCTCATTATATTAGAGGCAGAAAGAAAGTAAAGCACAAATTGTTTTGTAGACGTGCCCCAGGCACCTTAATTAGCACCGGCTGACCCCTTCTCTCACGTCCAGTTAATGCTGCTGCTACTACGAACCTATTCCCTGAGCTAAAGGAGGAAGACAGTATTTAGTTGATTCTCCAGCACAAAAACACAGCTTAAACCAAAGGGGATCTTCACAGTCCTCTCCCAGCACAGGTATTCCAAAGCCAATAAGGCCTTCTTGTCTGCAGGAGCTCTCTACAGCAGCATAGGAACTGGCTTTGAAATTTCCTCGCTGAATATAGAGAATTTCCTTATCCTGGGTGTCTCTTACCTGCATCTTGGAAAGGAGGCCTTACATAGTTAGGGCATTTGACCTCAAAGCTTTCTTCAAACACCAAGAGATTGAGAAAAACGGTACTGAAGTGCTGAATGAGGGCCCTCGCCCACTGCTGTTGCTATGGTTCCCATATCATATAATATTAATATGCAAAGTAGGTATTTGACACCTCCCCCCAAGGGCTACATCTCAGTGTTTCAATTTTTTGCTTTTGCCCCTTTTGTTATCCATTCATATGCAAATGTTTGTATTGGAAACTTGCTCTGTAGATTCCTCCACAAAAATACTCACCCATACTTCTCCGCAAGTCCTCTGGCTTCTTCCTCTTTTACTACTCTTTGGTCTTCCAGATCACTCTTATTTCCACATAACACTATATCTGGGTTTTCACAATATGCATGCATTTGTAGCTGGCCTATTAATATAAGAAAATTTATTATAGGTAAGTAATGTAAGTCTATCATCAGTGGAGAATACATGCAAAAGTGGTTTGAAACTGTAAATGGATATACAGATATAAGGAACTGATATAATTCTTTCAAAGCACCAAGACCCTAAGCTATAAAACTAAATGGATGGGGCAGAGATGTAAAACTAATCCTACCCTTATGCACATACCCCAGCTTATTTATATCGGAGAGGAATGGGAGAATTTGTTCTCTCTCCAAAAGTTATGTACACACACACACACACACACACACACACACACACACACGCATACACATACAACATAGCTGTCTCTCTTATGAAGGCCATTTGAAAAAAAAAAACACTTGGAGGATTTACTAGTGCTTATGGCTAATCTTAAAGCTCTGATTTTCATATATTTTCTCTCCACAGCAATGACATTTTAAAACAAATTGTCTTTCTATAAACTAGCCTATTTCCATCTGAAATGTTTTTCACATTTTCCTATTATCCTAAGGCAGAATCAATTTATCTAAAACAAACAAAATATAGGATCAAATGAAGACAGAAAACCCAGAATAAATAGTAAATGATTCTGTCACCAGAACCAAGAAGCAGGAGACTACAATTCTTACTCCATAGCTGCTATTTCTTTTCACCTGAAAACCTGTAAATAGGCAATAATTTTTAATAGCAGTTAAATCAAGGGAACTTCAACTAAGCTAAAGAGCTTAATCTCCCCAAGAAGGAAAATAAAGCCTTATTTCTTCCTCATCACACTCCACAATGAAATGAAAGCAACCCAAACTTGCACAATAAGACATCCTCAAAAATGTGCGGCTTAATTTATTTTTTATCATGGTTAACCAGAAAACTGTTGACATTTTAGTTCCTCATTATAAAGTCACGTTCGCTATATCTTATCATGAGAAAGTCAAATCGGCAAGTATTTACTGAGCAATAAGGGAGGCCTGATACTTGGTGCAGAATTCAGGGCACTGACCTTCGCCCTCAAGGGATAGTTAGGGGAAACAAGACCTATACAGGCAAGACCAAACTGTGTACCATTTCCAACAAGAGCCGAGACCTTTCTTTCCTCCAGGCTGTTACACATGCTGTCCCCACACCCTTGAATACCCAAACACAACCTTCCTTCAGGGACTCCCAACCCTTCCTTTAAGACTTGCCTCTCAGTTACCTCTACTGTGAAACCTTTCTGGTCTCCAGAGAGACCCTGTGCTCTGTTAACACCGTGTCTATTCAGTGTCATGGTTATGAGCATGAACTCAGGACTCAGGGTGTCTAAGGTTGAATCCTGGCTCTGCCATTTACTAGCTGTGTGGCCTTGAGGAAGTTATGTGGCCACTCTGTGCCTCAGTTTCCTCATCTGTAAATGGTGATAATGACGGTACTTACTTCATAGGGTTTAGGTGAGGATTAAATGAGTTAATTCAGCAACTCTTCAGGTAAGGTCCATGGACCAGCAGCCTAACCATCACCTGGGAACTTGTTAGAAATGCAAATTCTCAGGTACCACCCCAGATCTACTGAATCAGGAAGGCTGGGTTTCAGGCCTGGAATCTGTGTTTTAACAAGCCCTCTGGGGGGATCTAGATGCATGCTTGCACTTGACAATCATTAAGTTAATATAATAAAGAATTTAGAGCTGCTGTGTATTACCAGTAGCAATGTTTAATAGTATTTACTTTGAGGAGTCTGGGAAGTACGATAATTGATAATTTTTCTTTTTCTTTTTTCCCAACTTTTCTACAAAATCTGTGAATTACTTACCGTGGGTTCGATCCCCGGTCCAGTAAGATCCCACATGCTGTGGAGCAACTAAGCCTGTGTGCCACAACTACTGAGCCCGCGTGCCACAACTACTGAGCCCAGGCACTGTAACTACTGAAGCCCGTGTACTGGGGCCCACGTGCTGCAACTACTGAAGCCTGTGTGCCTAGAGCCTGTGCTCCGCAACAAGAGAAGCCACCGCAATGAGAAGCCCATGCACTGCAACGAAGAGTAGCCCCCACTCACCGCAACTAGAGAAAGCCCGTGCGCAGTAATGAGGACCCAACACAGCCACAAAAGAAAAAAAGGTAAATTAGGGACGTCCCTGGTGGTCCAGTGGCTAAAGACTCTGTGCTCCCAATGCATTGGGCCCGGGTTCGATCCCTGGTCAGGGAAAATAGATCCCACATGCCGCAACTAAGAGTTCGCATTCTGCAACTAAAGATCCTACATGCCTCAACTAAGACCCGGCACAGCCAAATAAAAAAAATTTTTTAAGTAAATTGATTAATTCTTTTAAAAAAATCTCACTAAGGAAAAAAGCACATACATAAATAACTACAACGAGAGGTGGTATGTGATACGGACCCTGTAAGTAGTACAAAAGGTAATAGGAGTTAAGAGGAAAGAAAAAATTTAATCCAACAAAGTTGTCACAGAAAATTTCATGGAGGCCATATTTTGCTATATTTTAAAGAAAAAGTAAAACTCTACTTTTTAAGGAAATGGGAGTGGGTGTGAGGAGGGCTTTTCAGACAGAGGGAATAACAGGAATAAAAATATAAAGGCAAAAATACGTTAAAAATATACCTGCTGGGCTCTTGTCCCATTTATGTGAGGCTACAGAAGAAAAGTTTAGAAATATAGGCTGCTTTAGAGTTTCCCTACAAAACACGCTGCCTGTGGGCATGACTGCCTCCTCCTACAAGCTCCAGAAAGACAGGTGAGTGATAAAACCTATCTGATTCCTCTCAGATTTCAAATTCAGGCCCAGAGGACACAGCTCTCTATTCAGTCTCCTAAACTCAGCAGGGATCACCTTGGGACTCTTACCCCTTGCCCAAGAGGGCATGGACAGATCTTGGGTCAAGGGAGAAGGGACTGCAATGCAGCTCTGGAGAAGCAAAGGGAGGGGGCAGACCTGCTTCCTCCCCCTGGGCCTTCAGTGCCCAGGACTCAGCTACCTGCTCAATGCAACACTGCCTCTGTTCTTCTATCACCATTAGTGTGTATATATATATATATATTTTTTTTTTTTAATTTGACCAAAAAAAAGAAGAAATGAATGATCCCTCTAATAGTCAAAATACTAACAGGAAGAGGAAAAATAAAATGTATAGATAATTAACAAATTTTTATTCCTAATTAAGATTTGCTATTACCACCTCTGACACTGAACCTTATACCATTTTTTTAAAAACGGGGCTGGAGGGAGGAGAATACTTTCCATTGAAGATGCGAAATCTCCAATATGCACGTTTTCTTTACCTAACTGGGCAAAAAGAATTCTTTTACACTATAAGGAAAACATAAAATAATACATACATACACATAATTTCACATCATTTTGTTCTTCATCTAACTAGCCATAAAGCCCAAATGGACAAGATTTATCTTGTCCAGAGTTTCAGTTTCTGCCAGTGAAAAATAGGTGGGTTGATGCTCTTTCGATGCTAAGATTCTATGAGCCCATCTCTGACAACAATCCTTATAAAGTGCTTGACTTAAGAAAGCCCCAGAATTTGTTCCGATGATGCAGAGGAGAGAATGATGAGCAAGGAATGAGGATAAGAGATTAGAAATAGCCACCACCCTTCAATTGTAAGGGTGTGTGACTCAGGCAGGCATTTAACGGAGTGAAGCCCAGTAAGCATGACTAAATTGGGGAACCTATATTTAAAGTATTAAATAGCTCTTCAACTCTTAGTGATCAACTTAGTTGAGAAAGAACATAAAGGGCCACTGAATCAAGGGGGAAAAAAGGCCGCTGAATCAAAAGCCAAAAGCTCCATGTCATTGGACAAGTATGTTACTCTGTGAGGCTCAGCATCTTCATCCTAAAATCAGGACACACCACCTCCCTGCATCTGCTCACAGGGGGCACGTGGGGATCAGGCACAAACTACGTGAAAATGCTTTGAAAACCACAAGGCACTAAAAAATTACTTATTTAAAAACGCTTTTTTTTTTATTTTTAAAAATTGTTTATTTTTGGCTGTGTTTGGTCTTTGTTGCTGCGCGCGGGCTTTCTCTAGTTGCGGCGAGCAGGGGGCTACTCTTTGTTGTGGTGCACAGGCTTCTCATTGTGGTGGCTTCTTTTGTTGTGGAACATGGGCTCTAGGCTCACGGGCTTCAGTAGTGTGGCATGTGGGCTCAGTAGTTGTGGTGCAAGGGCTTAGGTGCTCCACGGCATGTGGGATCTTCCTGGACCAGGGCATGAACCTGTGTCACCTGCATTGGCAGGCGGATTCTTAACCACTGCACCACCAGGGAGGTCCCTCATTTTCTAAAATAAGGTCTTCTACTATAAAAACCACAGCCCATTACCCTTTCATAATACAAAAACTCCAAATTCTTAAGTAGTGGGTGTTTCGAAATAAGTGTTTTCACTTTAAAGATTTGGATGTTAAGAATTTAACATCACAGCCCTCTCAATAGATTCTCTAAGGTAACACTAATACAACCAACAGAGGAAAATGTACATTTGCAAGGCAAGAAAATGATACATTTGGTCAAGTAGCAGGATTTTAAATGGCTACTATAACCAATCATGTAAGAGATTAGGCTGTCTCCGAAGAGCCAAAATGCAGGTCCATATATATTGTGCTGGGGACCACTCTGGCCAATGCAGTTCTAGAGGTTTCTATGACAGGATCCTCCTGGTAAATGCTCTGGCCCTAAAAGTAGAAAGGGGCCTCTAAATACAGAAGAGACATGGAGCCAGGGGTAGGGTCCATTAAATTTTCAAAAGGGTCAATGTAATATATGTTTTAAACCCTGGGATGGTAAAATACCTGATAGCACTTCTCTAGGCTTCTATTTCCTCATCTATAAAATGCAGATGAGAGTCCCCTTTGTGGAAAAGACTGATGAAGAGATTACACAGAAGGCACTCCTTGTATCTAGAGTGCAGGATGCACTCAACAAATGAAAGTGAGCATGACTAGGGAAAGCAGAGTATTTCAGTTATCTTCACCCCTAAACTAAGAGCCTTGCTCCTTTAAACAGCATCTTAAACAGCACTAGGAGCTCTTACAGAACAACTTACAAAAGAAGTAGAATATAAAAGGGATTTTATTGCAGGGAGTGGGAAGCAAGAGGCAGGGAGACTATTAACACTTACTTATCCAGTTTCTGACACTGAGGAAACTTTGCTCATTTGTCAGATCAAAAAGCAGAAGAAACCCCATAGCATCTCTGAAGAATGCGGTTGTCAAGCTGCGGAACCTGGGAACATAAAGCAGATTGGTCACCTAAACCATGGTCCCACCCTTGAGAAATAAAGCCACCAGCAGTGCCCTCAGCCTCTTACAATAGTTCATCAAAAACAAGTTAGATGTTTAATAACATGCCGCTGTTTCTAGTAACTTCACATTATATGTGCACATTATACACGCATAAATCTTATTTGTGCAAGATTTACTGTATTACATTAATAGATAATTTCAACAGTGTAAAATTATGTACATAATCAATGATATTGGATAGCATACAAAATATAGTAAATAGTTATCTAGAGCAAGAAAGAATATGTGAAAACAAATCTAGACTTTCGAAAATGCCAACAATTATCCAAAGTTAAACGTGCCATTTCCTTTTAAAATAAAGACCATCTGTGTAAACTTTTAAAAAATTTTAAATAAGTTAGATGATGATATTCCAAACATGTATATTACAGTTATTTATCTAACTGATAAAAGTTTATGTGTTAATAATAGGCCATGTGATTTAAAAACCCAGCCTGCTGGACAGGGATGACAAGAACTAGCTTGTGATTCCTTAGTCTCAGCCAAGAATTTATTGTACAATTAAGAGTTAAATAGGCCAAAAGCAATGGTGCTTGCTGTGTTTGTCTTCTTTGCCCTGTGAAAGCTTGACTTGATTGAACATCACAATGTGTTCCATGACCTTTTAATGTTCAGTCTCTAAAGAAATCTCTTATCTCTCAGAACCATTTCTTTGGCTTTAAGGTGGGGATAGTATCGCCACAGTCTCCCCTTTCTTGGTACTCTCTCCACCAAGGATTTATCCTGCTCTCTCCTCTCTCTCTCCCCCTCTAGTAGCAGGTTTTCTCTTATTTTGCTTTTATGCAAAGCCTGCAACTGACAGGCATAGGCTCCAGGGAAGAAAATACTGGTATGAATCTGTCATCTAATCTGCTCTAATTGATGATGAATCTGTCATCTAATCCGCTCTAATCCGCTCATCTAATCCGTTTCCTCAAATACCTCTAATCCATGTTTTTACAAAAAGAGTACTTATCTTTCAGAGATACGTACCAAAATAGTTATGAATGAAATAATTTGGGATTTGCTTCAAAATAATTGGGCGGTGGGGGTGGTGAGAAAAGGTGAGGAATATACGTGAAGTACGATGGGCCACAACTTGATGGCTGTTGAAACCAGGGAATTAGTACCTGAGTTCACTGTACTCTCCTCTCTACTTCTGCATATACTCGGAGTTTCCCATGATAAAAAGTTAAACAAACAAAATCCTTCAAGGAAATTGTGAGAGATAACATAGCTATAGCTAACTAAAAGCAACTTCAAACAGACTTCTGGTTGACAAGGGGGGAGAGGGGTGGGGGAGGGATGAATTGGGAGTTTGGGATTAGCAGATGCAAACTATTATAAACAACAAGGTTCTATTATATAGCACAGAGAACTATATTCAATATCCTGTGATAAACCATAATGGAAAAGAACATAAAAGAGAATGTATATATTTGTATAACTGAATCACTTTACCATACAGCAGAAATTAACACAACACTGTAAATCATCTATACTGCAATTTTTAAAAAGTAACTTCATATGAAGATTTCATGTGACATTTTTGTCAAGCAACCTCTGACTATATAAATTAATTCCAATGAGATTTTCTACTAGGTTTCAACAATCAGGTAAGAATAATGCATACAACTCTACAGCTTTCTTTGTGGTTGAGTAAACAGCAAAAGCAAATGGAGAAAAGTATACAGGTCTAAAAAAAGGGTGGGAGAAAAAGAAAAAAGTCCATAAGTAAAAGGGTCCATTTTGAAAAGGATTCATTTTTCCTTTGACCTTGTATGAAATAAAGCCACCATTATCAGCTCAGACTGATACATTTCCTGCTAATTTGGCAGCATGTCTTATCCAGGTGCAAATCAACTAATCAGCTGGCCTTTTCCTGCTCAGGTCACTGTGTGAAGAGCGCAGCTGTTTTTCCCCTTTCCTCCAGTAAGGAGCACGTAACTGAAGATCTCATACCTCTCCTGCCCTGCTGTGTCCCATAACTGCAGGTGGATTCTCTGGCCTCTGCCAATGGCTCCATCTGGTCCATTGGCTCTGTACACCTAAAATGGAAAAATGAAAGAGAAAAAGAGAACTTCTGAGAGAACTTCTTCTCACTTTCCTATTCAGTACAACTCCCCTAAGCATCTAAACTTCTAAAGGAAATCCCATCTGGAATACAATCTTATTTGTATTTTATTCCAAATAATCGTCTTTGGGTAACACAATAATTTGTATTAAATGATGTATGTACATTATATATCTTTATAAATATATTACAAAATATACAAGTAATACATAATTTGTATTAAAAAATAATAATCAGCTCACCTTTCCTCAAAGTCCCCTCAGGTCACTAGTTTCAGGAAATATTACCTTCTCCCCATCCTATCTTTAAAAAGTACTCTTAAAACAATTTTATAGGAAGGGCCTCTGAAAATCTCTTCCTCCATCAAAGCAATAAAAACACTGGCAAAAATAGTCAAAATCAACTTTTTCCAAACCCTTAAAATTAACAAAGGCTTGCAACATTCCAAGGAGCACCTATTCAAGAAAAACAGCTGAATATCAGTAAAAAATTGTAAATTTTGTGCCTTTTTAACTAGTCCTATTCCCATTCCCCCTCCCCAGCTCCACTGTAGCCTTGAAAACCAACAGACGCACAACTACAGTAGCTGTGAAAACCATCAGTGCAGCAACCACTGGAGGAAGGAGAGGCAGAACAGGTTTGGAGTTCCCCAAAAGTCTCATCCCCAGAGTAGTGTCTGAAATCTGCCTGTAAAGCTCCATTCCCAAGTCTTGTCTTTATTTTATCTGACTTAACTTGCTCTATGAGAAAACCCCATCCTTAGACCATTTATTGAAAGCAATCAGCAGCAATTATTTACCATCACAGCTACCAAAGGCAGCAAGACCAGTTGGACCTAATCTAACCCAAAATCTTAAAGATATGAGATGTCCACAGAGAGATTTGAAAAGTTTCAAAATATTCCTTGGAACCTACTAGGCCAGGTTCATGTACATGGTTGTACATATGTCCAGGAAAGACCTAAAAATGCCCTAATCTCTCACCTTTGGCTGACCTTGAGACTCTTCTCAAGCAGAAGTGAAGGCTAAGGCAGAGTTGTGAACTGCCTGCAGGAGCATTAAGCAAACATCCCAACACACACACACACACACAGAGTCCCTCAGAGAAAGCTGAGAGATATACTGGCTCAAGAATTTAAGAAACTTTCTGTCCACTCATTAGCTGACCACTAAGTTAACTAAGCAGAGACTTCAGTAGCTGCACGTAACAAGAAATACAGACTTCACAGAATTAGCCCAAGAACATCACTAAACAAACAGTGATGACAAAAATAAAGGGGAAAAACAAGAAACCCTTGGGAATGGGGAGGAATCTGATTTCCAGAGTTGCTACATTCTATCAATTTAAATGTTCAGCTCTCAACAAAATTTATAAGACACACAAAGAAATAGGAACACACACACAGATAAAGCAACCAAAAGAAACCACTCCTAAGGAAGCCCAGATGTTGAACTTACAAGACTTTAAATCAGCTATTATAAATATGTTCAAAGAACTAAAGGAAATCATGTCTAAGGAATCAAAGGAAAGTATGAGAATAATGCCTCACTGAATAGAGAATGTCAATAAAGAGATAGATATTATAAAAAGTAGTAAACAGACATTCTGGAGTTAAAAATTATAACTGAAGTGCAATATTCACTAGAGGGGCTCAAGAGGAGATTTGAACTGGCAGAAGAAATAATCACTGAATCTAAAGATAGCTCAATTGAGATCACCTAGTCTACTCACAAAAGAAAAAAAAAAGAATGAATAAAAGTGAAGAGAGGGAATTCCCTGGTGGCACAGTGGTTGGGAATCCACCTGCCAGTGCAGGGGATATGGGTTCGAGCCCTGATCCAGGAGGATCTCACATGCTGTGGAGCAGCTGGGCCTGCACGCCACAACTGCTGAGCCTGCACTCTGAAGCCCGTGAGCCACACTACTGAGCCTGTGCGCCACAGCTACTGAAGCCCATGCGCCTAGAGCCCGTGCTCCGCAGCAAGAGAAGCCACCGCAATGAGAAGCCTGCGCACGGCAACGAAGAGTAGCCCCTGCCTGCCGCAACTAAAAAAAGCCTACGCACAGCAACAAAGACCCAACACAGCCAAAAATAAATTAATTTTTTTTAAAAAAAGTGAAGAGAGTCTTGGAGACCTATGGAACACCATGAAACATACCAATATATGCATACTAGCAATCCCGTAAAAAAATAAAAATAAAAAAAGGGAGAGATAGAAAGAGGCAGAAAAAATATCTGAGGAAATAATAGCCAAAAACTTTCCAAATCTGATGAAAAACATTCATCTCCACATTCAAGAAACTCAGTAAACTCCAAGAAGGATAAGCTTGCTGATACTGACTAGACATATCACCACCAAACTGTCAAAATCAAAAGACAGAGAGAATTTTAAAAGCAGCAAGAGAAAAGTGATTCAGCACATGCAAGGGATCCCAATAAGACTAAGAGCTGATTTATCATCAAAAAAAATGAAGGCCAAAAGGCAGTAGGATGCCAAAAAGTGTTGAAAGAAAAAAGACTGTCAACCAAGAATCCTATATCCAGCAAAGCTATCCTTTAAAATTAAAAGAGAAATTAAGACATCCTCAGATAAACAAAAACAGAAAATTCATTGCTAGCAGAACTGCCCAGCAAGAAATAATAAAGACAGAGCTTTAGGCTGAGATGAAAGGACCCTAGCCAGTAATTTGAATCCATACAAAGAAATAAAGAGCACCAGTAAAGATAACTACGTGGGTCAATATAAAAGACAGTATAAATGGTTTTTTGCAACTCTTTTCTTCCATTGATTAAAATACAATTGCATAAATTAATAATCATAAACCTGTGTTGATGGGCACACAGTGTATAAAGATGCAATTTGTATGACAATAACAGTGCAAAGTAAGGGGTAGGAAATGGAGCCACATAAGAGCAGAGTATGGCATTGAAATTAAATTGGTATTAATCCAAACTAGATTGTTAAAAATTAAGAAGACAACTGTAATCCCTAGGGGAACTATTAAAAATTCAAAAAACATATAGTAAAAAATGACAAGGGAATTTAAATAGTATACTAGAAAATATCTACGTAACACAGTTGCAAAGAAATAACAAAACAGCAGAAAAAAGATACACAGAAAACAAGTAGCAAAATGGCAGATATAAATCCTACTTTATCAGTAATTATACTGAATGTAAATGTATTAAAGACTCCAAGTGAAAGGCAGGGGTTGGTAGAATGGATTTAAAAACATGATCCAACTATGCTATCCACAAAAGACACACTTTAGATTCAAAAAGGTGTAGGGAAAAGGATGAAAAAAATATATACCATGCAAACAATAACAAAGAGAGAGCTGGAGTGGCTACACTAATATGAGACAAAATAGACTTGAAGACAAAAAGAGTTATTAGAGACAAAGAAGGATATTTTATAATGATAAAAGGGCTGATTTATTAAGGATGCATAGGGATAAAAAGAGAAATGAACAATTTGACAATAATATTTAGAGACTTCAATACTACTTTCAATAATGGATAAAACAGGGGCTTCCCTGGTGGCGCAGTGGTTGAGAGTCCGCCTGCCGATGCAGGGGACACAGGTTCGTGCCCCGGTCCAGGAAGATCCCACATGCTGTGGAGCAGCTGGGCCCGTGAGCCATGGCCGCTGAGCCTGTACATCCGGAGCCTGTGCTCCACAACGGGAGAGGCCACAGCAGTGAGAGGCCCGTGTACCGCAAAAAAAAAAAAAAAAAAAAAAGGATAAAACAAGCAGGCAGATGAACAATGAAACAGAAGACCTGCAGAACACTGTAAGCCAATTAGACACAATAGACATCTACAGAAGATTTCACCCAACAACTGCAAGATACACATTCTTCTCAGGTACACATGAAACATTCTCAAGGACAGACCATATGTTAGGTCATCAAACAAGCCTCAATAAATTTAAAAAACTGAAGTCATACAAAGTATGTTCTCTAACCACAATGTGGTAAAATTAGAAATCATTAACAGAAAGAAATTTGGAAAATTCATGAATATGTGGAAATTAAACAATACAGTCTTAAATAACCAATGGGTCAAAGAAGAAACACAAGGGAAACTAGAAAATATTTTTAGATGAATGAAAAGCACAACATACAAAAAATACCAAGTGAACTTAAAGCAGTGCTCAGAGGGAAATTTCTAGCAGTAAACACCTATATTAAAAAACAAGAAAGATCTCAAATCAATAACTTAAACGTCAACCTCAAAAAACTAGAAAAATAAGAGTAAACTAACTCCAAAGCAAGCAGAAGGAAAGAAATAATAAAGATTAGAGTAGAAATAAATGAACTTTTCTTTGAAAAAAAATCAAGAAAATGGATAAACCTTTAGTTAGACTAATCAAGGATAAAAATAGAAGACTCAAATTCTTAAAATCAGAAATGAAAGAAAGGACAACACTACCAACCTTACACGTATAAAAAGATTATAAAGGAATAGTATGAACAATTGTATGCCAAAATATTAGATAGCTTAGAAGAAATGGAGAAATTCCTAGACCCAAACAACTGAAACTAACTCAAGAAAAAATAGAAAATCTAAAGAAATATATAACCAATAAGAAGACTGAATTCATAATAAAAATAACTTCCCACAAAGAAAAGGCCAGGCCCAAATGTCTTCAATGATGAATCTGATCAAATGTTTACAGAAAAATTAACACCAATCCTTCTCAAACTCTTCCAAAACATAGAAAAGAAGGAAATACCTCCCACCTCATTTTATGAGGCCTATATTATCCTGACACCAAAATCAAAGATACGAGGGGAAGAAAAACTACAGACCAATATCCTCTCTGAATACAGACACCAAAATACTAGCAAAAAGAATCCAGAAAAATATATAAAGGATTATATACCATGACTGAGTAGAAGTTATCACGAGAATAACAAGATTGGTTTAACATACAAAAATCAACCAATATTGATTTGTAATGGAATAGAACGGTTATAGAATAAAGGACTAAAACCACATGACCATTTCAAAAGATGCAGAAAAAGCATTTGAAAAAGTCCAACACCTTTCATGATAAAAATGCTCAACAAATTAGGAATAGAAGGGAACATCCTTGACCTGAAGAACAGCATCTATGAAAAATGCACAGCTTATATTACACTTAATGGTGACTGAATGCTTTCTCCCTAAAAGACAAGACAAAGATGTTCTCTCTGAACACTTCTATTCGACTTTTTACTGGAGGTTCTCATCAGGGCGATTAGGCAAGAAAAAGAAACAAAACATACCCAAGTTGGAAAGGAAGAAGTATAACAGAAGATGGGAATTCCGAACATCTATTTCCTATCTTGTATATAGGAAATCCTAAGGAATAAATACACACACAGATACATACACCCCCTACACACACATGTACAGGTTATATTAGAACTAATAAACAAGTTCAGTAAGGTTCCAGTATACAAGCTCAACTTACAAAATAAACTGTATTTTTATACACTGGCAAGGAACAATTCAAAAATAAAGAAAACAATTTAATTTATAATAGCATAAAAAGATTAAGATACTTAATAAATTTAATAAAAAAGTATAAAACATATTCTGAAAGCTATAAAATATTGTTGAAAGAAATTAAAGAAGATCTAAATAGGAAAACGTTCCACGTTCACAAATCAGAAGACTTAATAGTGTTAAGATACCAATACTCAACAAATTATTCTACAGAGTCAATGCAAACCCTAACAGAATCTCAGCTGGCTTCTTTGTAGAAATTAACAAGCTGTCCCTAAGATTCATATGAAATTGCAAGGAACCCAAAACAATCGTGAAAAAAGACAAAGTGGGAGGACTCGTGCTTCCCAATTTCAAAACTTACAACAAAGCTACAGTAATCAAGATAGTGGCATAAGGATAGACATATAGATAAATGGAATAGAACTGAGAGTCCAAAAATAAACCCTTACATTTATGGTCAACTGATTTTCAACAAGAGTGTCAAGAACATTCAACAGGGGAAAGAATAGTCTTTTCAACAAATGGTGCTGGGACAATTAGATATACACATGCAGAAGAATGAAGCTGGACCCCTATTCACCCTATACCCCAAAATTAACTCAAAATGGATCACAGATGTAAATGTAAAAGCTAAAACTATTTGCATATCATATATCTGATAAGAACATTTATCCAGAATACACACACAAAAAAACCTCTTAAAACTTAACAACAAAAAAACAACCAATTTCAAAATAGGCAAAGGATCTGAACAGACATTTCTCCAAAGATGATAAACAAATGGCCGATAAGCATATGAAAAGGTGATTGTTCCACAACATTCATCATTAGGGAAATTACAGTCAAACTTGCAATGACGTACCACTTCACACCCACTAGAATGGCTACAATCAAATAGACAACAAGAAGAGCTGGTGAAGATATAGAGAAACTGGAACCCTCATACATGGTTGGTGAGGATGTAAAATGGGGCAGCATCTTCCGAAAAATGTGAAAGTCCCTCAAAGTTAAACAGAGAGTTATCATATAGCCAGTCAAATCCGCTCCAAGCCTATATAAGTATATTGAAAACATAAGTTCACCCAAAAAATGTATATGAATATTAACAGAAGTATGGTTCATAACAGCTAAAAAGTGAAACAACCGAAATGTCCACCAATGGATGAATGGATAAACAAAATGTGGTATACCAATACAATGGAATACTATTTGATCATAAAAAGGAATGAAGTTCTGATACATGATACAACATTATGCAGAAAACATTACACTAAATAAAAGAAGCCAGACGCAAAAGGCCACATATTGTATGATTCCATTTACATGATAAATCCAAATGAGCAAATCCAGAGAGTAGATTAGTGGCTGCGGGAGGGAAAATGGAAAAATGCTAAAGGGTATGAGGTTTCTTTTGGGGTGATGAAATGTTCTAAAATTTGGTAGTGGTGACAGTTGCACAACTGTGAATATACTAAAATACCACTGAATTGTACACGTTAAATGGGTGAATTTTATATAAATTATATCTCAATAAAGTTATTTTTTAAAAACAAAGTTATAAAATGGGGATTAGTTAATAAATATAATCACAAGCATATAGGGGAGGGGCAAGATAGGGGTAGGGAACTGAGAGTTACAAACTACTTTATATAAAATAAATAAGCTATAAGGATATATTGTACAACACAGGGAATATAGCCAATATTTTATAATAACTATAAATGGAATATAACCTTTAAAAATTGTGAATCACTATATTGTACACCTGAAACTTATACAATATTGTACAGCAACCATACCTCAATTTTAAAATAATTTAAAAAAAAAAAGAAAGGAAAAGAAACAGACTCTCTGGTAGTGGAAGGCTTAGGGTGGATCAGAGGGAATGAATATTTCTGTCCTAGAAGCCAGAGACCATTCATTTTTCCCAGGTAGAATACTCTCCACTGCAGGGTTTTTGTCATTAATCTCCTGACTACTTGTTGACCTGCTTCATGGGAACAGCTGCTTTTTCAGTAAGAAATGTAGTTCCTGGACATACTAACCTCCTGCCTTCCTCCCTACCCCACAATAACTTGTCTTGCTGTCCTTTGAAAAATAAATTAAATAAAAATATTTTAAAATATCCTCTTCCCTTATTCTACAGAACCTTGCTGTTCCCTTGGTTACCTCCCAGATCCATATGCCCTACCGCCATTCCCATCCCTACTCCAACCTCACACTCCTGGTGGGATCAATGAGTTCTGCCACTTAGTGTTCCACATGCGATAGCTGAGGCTTAATTAAGAGAAAATCCATTAAAAATGATATCAAAAATGGAAGAAATAGCCCACAAAACAGGGGTATGAGGAGCAGAGAAGATTGCAAGCTTCATAACAAAGGTACGAAGCAAATTCCACAAATAACTTTGTGGAAATCAGAAGGAACATACCAGCCAAAAGAGTATCAAGGAAATTTTTTTAAATCTTCACTTTTATTTTATCTGCTTGGTTTTATATGAAGTGTCCTCAGTTACAGCCTTTAATCACATTGCCCAGACTGAACATAATACACTCTCATATGTACCCTTTAATTTTAGATTCCAACCTTTGTCCTCCTAATTCCTACAAAGTAAACAAAACAGACAGGCAAATGTTGACTCAGATTATGTTTTTATATAGAAGGATACAGAACTTACCACTCTCTTTTCCCTGAAATCAATGCCGACTGTCGTGATAAATTTGGAGTTAAATTTACCATCTGTGTACTGGTAAAGTACACTGGTCTTCCCTACTCCAGAGTCTCCCAGAGCTAAAAACTTGATGAGGTAATCATAGTCTCCATCAGACATAATGAAGAACTCAGTGGTTCACCTGAAAAATACAAACAAATGTATATTTACCAAAAACCGATTCGAAAATATTAGAATCTTCCATGAATTAAATGACTTCCTTTAATATCCAGTTCATCAAGTACTTCTACGTAACACCTATGTGCCTAAGCGTTCTGTGAAGAGAGGATTAGACATTATTCACTATCCCAAGGGCTTAATCATTTGCTAGATGAGATGCTACTGAACTTGTAAATAAGTAACAGTTTAGGTTGAATTTATTGTGCATATTATAGTACTGTTAAGACAAAAATTCCAAGTGAGAATGAAAGTCAAGAAGATAATGGTCACTAAGGCTTATACGCAGATGGCGTAGAACAAGAGTTGACAAAACAAAGAAAGAAAGGAGGAAGGAGAATATTACAGGAATAACAATAATTCTTAGAGTGCAAGTGGTTCCAACTGCCCCTCCTTTTTCAAAGTCTCCTAGTGCTGCATCCTTGGCTTTTCTTTTTTTTACTTGGACATTGAGGCAATTTCATTTATCCTATGCATTTTCACATGTGATTATCATTCCTTCAAAGATAATGTTAAGTTCACAAGTAAAACTTGGTTTGCAGCTTCCTTACAAATTATTGTTACTACATATTAAATCAGATCTTTCTAGAATATCACTGCTCACTTGAGAACTGAGTTCTACCATGAAAGGCTCCTTTATGTACATTTGCCTTGGTATTCTACAGGAAATGCTACCAATTCAGCTCTTCAATATTGGCCAGAAGTCTACCTTTGAGAAGAAATATTCTTGGTTTTACAGCAAGACCTAACCATGGTTACTTTCTATCCTTTGCAATCAGCACTTTTCAAGATTTGTTTTTATCCTCTAAATAGATTCAAACTATTCAAAATATCAGTCTGCCTAGAAATATAGTCTGTCTCCAGGGTAGGCTTACTTCTTTTTATCCTCCCATTTCTAATACCGATAAACACTCCTGAAAATCAGAAAAACAATCAGCTATTCCGTTACCACTGACAACTCTACCTGCCCATTCAACATACATATTCACCCATCCACATACACATCATATGCCCTACATTAGATGCTGCTGATTTTCCTCTCATTGTCCGCTTTTCACCCAGCCATCACCTGCCCAGAAACTTTACCACAATTCTCAACGCTTCCTATAGGATTATTTCTATAGATCCATAAAATTCATAAAAGCTCAGGCAAGGACATTTATTGATTTTCAAGGTTGCCTCCCCCACCCTATCCTCAATTTGGTGACCCACCTTATGCTCAAAAATCCTGAATTCTGATCCCCAAGAGCTGCTTCAGTGACTTCCACAGAGTCCCTTAGTGCAGAGCTGTGGCCTCACATTCAGATATGGCTGGTCAGTCGACAAGGGCAAAGCCTCTACAAACATCTGGCATTCTATTTGCACACTATAAGGCGTGACACTGTACAGATGATGGCTTTCCTATGTTATAGCTTCTGTACTCACAGGTACAGGTTGCCAGCATTAATGGTGTGTAACAGAATGCCTCTCCAGAAGATGACCACTTGGATACAAATAAAGATTCTAGTACGTTTTATCACAGCATCTCACTCGGCTCCAAGTTATTCATAAATAAGAGCTAAGAATTGAAAAGTAGGTCCAGATAACAGAATCATTTGGGGGGGTTCCCCTCCAAATAAATGAGGAAGCAGAAAGCAACTCCAAATTCTGCAAGGAGAATGATGCAAGAAGTCGCTGTGGCTACCTTATTTCCTCTTTACTTTTTTTTTTTTTTTTTTTTTGTGGTACGCGGGCCTCTCACTGTTGTGGCCTCTCCTGTTGCGGAGCACAGGCTCCAGACGCACAGGCTCAGCGGGCATGGCTCACGGGCCCAGCCGCTCCGCGGCATGTGGGATCTTCCCGGACCGGGGCACGAACTCATGTCCCCTGAATCGGCAGGCGGACTCTCAACCACTGCGCCACCAGGGAAGCCCTCCTCTTTACTTTTATTTTGAAAAAAGTTGGTCATTTTTATAACTAGTTTCTGTATCATTTCAGGTACAGGAGAAAATGTTGTCACCAATGGCATACTCTTCTAGAATTCTTTAAACCTACTTCAATGGAATTCAAAGACTGTTGAACCTATCTCTGCTGCACCAAAATTTAATATGTTTAGTTATCATGGGAGAAGAATTACACAGGTAAGTCTACAAATGATCTTCATGGGTTTTGTCTTCTATTCGTGATGACAGCAATATATAAGTTTGTTCCCAAACCAAACCATCATAAAGGAAGTGTTAACAAAATACCACAACTGAAGGTATAGACACCACCATTGAAATTAATCATATTTTATACTCTTCAGACTGCACCTTTAGACAATTATCTGCCTTGCTGATCTGAAAATAAATGCTCAGACCTTCCATTTTCTGGGTTCAGTTTGCTAAAGAATGAAACAGAACCCAGAGAGTTTAACTCATTTGCAAAGTCTAGAACATGTGTCTCCCAACTTCAAGTCCAATGTCCATTCTACCTCAAGCTTTGTGGCCATTACTCAAGTTTTTACAAATGGATGTTGGATTTAAAAGTGACCAGGTAGGATATCATACAAGGTAGCCTAACAGGAAACATGTGACTTCTGAAGTCAAGCAGAGCTAGATTGGACTCCATATCTCCCACATACTGGCTACTCAGATGTTTTTCAGTCTTGGATTTTCAGGTTTCCATTCCATGAAAAAGAAAATGTACACTACTTCCCACCATTGTTCTAAGGATTGAATGAGATACTCTTTGTGGAGTGCCCAGCACAATGCTTGGCATATGCTGGGTACTCAGTAAATGTTGGCTCACTCTCTTCTCCCCATTCTGGACAGATCAGACAGGCTCTGAAGACCTAGAATAATTTCTGAAATTGCCTCTGGGCAGCTCAAAACATGTATTTCTGGCACAAAAGATTGCTGACTGGCTCAGAGTAGTTTACCGAGTCAGCAAACATCACCTTCTTTTTTGGCTGGTTCAAACCATTTTCAATTAATTTTAAGTAGATATGTCAATTTCAAAAGCGTTATGACCAGCTTAAGAATGGGTTTAAATTGTATAAAACACTCTAATCCATACTAAAAAATTCATACTTGTTCAAAAGGATCTCAAAGGTTCATTCTGGTTCAGAGTGAAAGAGTTAAGTTCAGAGACATTCTACCTACAAAACCATTTCTGATTGATCTAAAGCCACTTGGTTAAAACCACATGTATTACTCAGCCATAAAAAGAAACGAAATTGAGCTATGTGTAATGAGGTGGATGGACCTAGAGTCTGTCATACAGAGTGAAGTAAGTCAGAAAGAGAAAGACAAATACTGTATGCTAACACATATATATGGAATTTAAGAAAAAAAAAATGTCATGAAGAACCTAGGGGTAAGACAGCAATAAAGACACAGACCTACTGGAGAACGGACTTGAGGATATGGGGAGGGGGAAGGGTGAGCTGTGACAAAGCGAGAGAGAGGCATGGACATATATACACTACCAAACATAAGGTAGATAGCTAGTGGGAAGCAGCCGCATAGCACAGGGAGATCAGCTCGGTGCTTTGTGACCGCCTGGAGGGGTGGGATAGGGAGGGTGGGAGGGAGGGAGACGCAAGAGGGAAGAGATATGGGAACATATGTATATGTATAACTGATTCACTTTGTTATAAAGCAGAAACTAACACACCATTGTAAAGCAATTATACCCCAATAAAGATGTTAAAAAAAAAAACAAAAAACCACATGTATCTAACCAAAATCATTTAGGTCTGGTTTTAAGAGCCCAAACTGCTTCACACTGGTTTTAGCTAGCTCAAATAAGCTCTGACCTGGACAAGTAGGTTCTGACTGGCTCACCTAAGGTTTGATTGGTTCAGAGCATATTTTACTGAATCAAGCTAGTGCTGACCAATTAAATCTATCTCCAACTGGGTCACAGTTGCTCTAATTTTATCAAACTGCTTGTAGTAGAAGGTAAAAACTGGTTCAAAACAGTCCAAGTTGACTGATAAGATGTTCAAACAGTTCAAGACTAAAAACGTAAAATGATACTCAGAAGCACCAAAAGCAATGGTTTGGTGCTTTTAAACTTATACCAAATCAACAAACTTAAAATTTTCCTTATAATTACCCCAGCTGTAGACAATCTGTACTCAAATATTTATCGCCATCACAGTCCAGTCTCTTTCTACACTTGAACAGCTTGTACATGTTGGAGTACAGAAAACAGGTTGGGAGAAGGGATACTGGCAGAGAATACGATAAACAACAGGGAAAGGTATGATGAGTGACACAGCCTTCCTTGGTTGAGAACTCACCTCCTGCCTTATCTCAAGGACCTGGCAGCAAAACACTGATCTGTAATCCAACAATAAAACAGAGATTTCAGCTGGGGGGAACCTTTAGCAAATTGGGATGCTATTTAGAGTTTGCCCTAAGTTGGTCACAGTGACCAGGCTGGTCTGGGTTAACAGAGACCAGAATTCTAAAGAGTAAGGAAGCTGCTAGGAAATAAAAGTATTCAGGGAACAGGCAGGTCTTCAAATTGTTGACAGAGATTTTTCAGGGTATTGGTGGTGACAGGTTCCTTATCTGAGCTTACAGTCAGTTAGTCAAAGCCTAGAGTTAATGGAATCATTCCATCTTTCAGGAGAAAATAATTCTAGTCCATAGCAGACTACAATCCCAAACCCATGCTGCAGTCCTATATGTGGTTGTCTTGCCACCGCTTACCACCACGAGGTAAAGACAACTAAATGTTAAGTTTCAGCTTCTGGTAGGTCTTCACGTAGAACCATCTTCATATTATTAAAAATTATTTTTGGGACTTCCCTGGCGGTCCAGTGGTTGAGACTTTGTCTTCCAATGCAGGGCGTGAGGGTTTGATCCCTGGTCAGGGAACTTAGATCCCACATGCCTCAGGGCCAAAAAACCAAAACATAAAACAGAAGCAATATTGTAAAAAATTCAATAAAGACTTTTAAAATGATCCACACACACAAAAAAGAAAATCAGG